TATATATATATATATATATATAATATCTCACAGCATTGGCCTCTACAGCCAGCCCTGTGGAGCCAAGATAATTACTGCATGCATGTAAACATCTATCCATCTATTACCATAACCACAGAATCCCCACAGGGGTCACGGAGCCTATTCCAGGAATCAACCCTGGGCAGGCACCACACCAATCAGCCTACAACACACACTTTTGGACTATGGGAGGAAACCAGAGCCCCTGGCAAAACGCACACAAACACAGGGAAATTGTGTGAACTCCACACAGAAAGGACCCAGAACCAAACCCAGGACCTCCTCACTGTGAGTAACCACTGCACCACCGTGCACCCCCACGTGTAAACATACACAAATAATCCACAAAATGTTCCTCATTACGCAAATGATTTGGTTTAATGTGCAAAAATTGCATTGAGTTCAGAGAATGGACACATAGTGTACACAGACTTGTTTTTGCATACATAAAACTATTCAAATGGCAGGTTTTTTTTTTTTTTTGGTTGTCGCCCCAGCTCCTCACGCAATGAACAGGTGAGAGGCAGACTGGTTGATAGCCTGACAGGCCCAAAGTAAAGGAAGCTTCACTGTGAACTTCACATCAATACTGAACTTCACGTCACTGTGAACTTCACACGTGCTTTAGCTCAGCAGCCTCTATGCTCTGTCTGCTGCGGTTTCATTTACGGTAATCAGGCAAGTCGTGCTATGAGTTACCTTAAGTTGTCAGATTTTTTTTTCCTTGTGGTTCCCATGAATAACGGTTCTAAAATCATAACTTGTGGGCGGGGGGCATTGGGGGGGGGGGGGTGTTAGGGAGGAAAGCACCAGCAAGGTCGTCCTTTCTTCTCCATTTGAGTTCTTCACAGTGGCCATCATACGCTGTGACACACGGAGGATGTGAAGAACCCTACTGGAAGCACTACCGGCCATCTGAAACGCGACTCTCAAGTCCTGCCCTCTCACTTCCTGTCCATCACTCTTCACTATTCAGAATGATTCATTCCAGAATGATTGTGGCATGTATGTGTTAGTAAATAAATAAGTAAATGAATATCTTTAAAACAAAGTAAATATCCAGAATCAAAACTAACAGGTGAGGTAAAAAAAAAAAAAACCTGAAATATCCCTTGAAACATTCTCACACGGCTGAATCGGATTTCTAAACTTTTCTTTATGCTTCCTGGAGAACCAAAAATTCAGCTAAAATGCAGATTTTCCCCAAGAAATGTACAGCATAGTACCCTGTATTCCCAGGTCATGCTTTCAGATTCTGTTTGACTCGACACAACAAAAAGGGAAGGATGAAAGTTTGACACATTTAGAAACAAAGTGTCCTCTTTGCTCTCATCATTCTCAGTAGCAAACTGATTTCAAAAGAAAACATGTTTTATTGAAAATCAGTATAATTATTAGATCATCAGTACCTGAAATAGGACAGTTAAAGACATCTATCTATCCATCCATCCATCTAAGAAAAAATGTTGTTTGGACATTAAATTTTCACAGCAGAAATTAAGATGCAAACTGGTGCCAGTTTAAACATTCGGCTGTCAGCATGATTTTTACAGACATTCTGATCACAGCTGTTTTCTGTGAATGTGTACAATGGACATACCTGCTAGAAAAAAATGTGAGTAAAATGACATTGTTTCCACAGATACCCATTAGCAAATAATGAACAAATAACAAACTCAGGTTGATATGGATTCAATTGTTCTTTAATGATCAAAAAATATATACACAGACAGGAAAAAATGAAATCTTTGTCTACAAGACATACTTTTTTACAGAGAGGAACGTCATCATCTGAGCAAACAGCCGATTGTCAGACTGAAAACCCGACTCTTTCACAACATAGAGAAGTTTCATCTAGGACTGCTATTATTAAGATAATACCGGAGTCTATGTGCATTAACAAACCCACCTCCAAAATCCATATTACAATAAAATCTGTGTATCTACTTGTCTTGCCATTATTTACATCATCTTTGATTAAACTGTAGATAAAATGCAGGAATATTTTTTGTTTCAATACGATGCTATAAAACTAACTGCTTAGGCGAATTGTCGTCTCAGAGATCACAGACACTGTGGCGTTCAGTTACCAGAACTCATTTCTGGGATGGAGCTTGTCATGAGTTTTGTAGACTTTGCTTGCAAGTAATGGGAACAGCAATTAAATCCTGTAATCTCACGATCAGTCGCTTCACAGGTGTGACATTACGGTCACTGAGAGTCTGCGACAGTCATTGTTGCACTTCTGCGTGCATCTCTGTCGGTTCCTGTATGTTCCCAAAGAAGCGGCACGTCTGCATTGTCAACGCTGCGGCTTGCCAGTGTTTGTATGTTTCATTGTTTTTATTTTAGCGTGATAACCATCTAGAACGGTTGTAAAACATGAAGCTGCAAACTATCAGAGCCGAATACTTTCCACTGCATTGTCCGGACTTGCTTCCATGTAAATCGCTAACTCCTAACTTGGTGCCTACATGACCGACGTGACTGCTGGTTGTAGATGATTAACCAATCTGGATCCCCCCCCACACCGTTAATTACTCCAGGTGTTACACCAGGGATCCATGGAAATTCCCCCACACTCCCTTTCGCTAAACTATCCCGTTAAATCCTGAGACGTTTCACTGACTTTTTTTTTCTTTCCTTTTTTATGATGAACTGCACAGCAGCAAACTATAATAACTTTGTTTCATGGAAACAACTGACATCTGCCTCATACCGGCAAATGATTATTTACAGCAAACTGGGACTGCCTGACTGACAGTGATTCTCACAAATGCGGGATTAGTACAGAATGGATCGGATTTGGGATTCCTTGCCCTTCAGGATTCTCCGTACCTATGGACACAGACACAAAGGTGGAGATGCTTCACTGTCTTGGAAATGCACAAAAAAGAGACTGTAGAGTGACACAGACGCAGAGAAAACGCAACAAATCTGACGGCATCAACCGCTCAACTCATTATGGATTCCTAAGGTACTCACAGGTGGATTGTACATAATTCTGGGTTGTATACTAGATCAAGACGGATCAATGGGTCTTGGAAGGGAATATGAACTGGAAGGAGTCATCAGTAGACTAAGACAAGGGGGCTGATGTCTTGAAAATTGGAGTCAATCATGTGTGCCTGAGGAAGGTGTGCTGAGAATGTATAGAGCACCTGATGGTGTGATGTTAGGTACAGATGACACAGAGGAATATTGAGGACTGAGATGGATAGCGCAGTGACCCACCTGATCCCCCTGGGGTCCCTCCGGAACCAACTGGATGGGCTGCTCGTTCTCCAGGTTCTTGGCGCTGGGGTCGGCACCACGGCGCATGAGCAGCTTGACAGCATCCACTTGGGCAACCCGGCCCTGCAGGGAGCTGGCTACGTGGAGCACGGTGTTTCCATTGTATGTCTAACCGAGATGAGAGAGAAAGAGAGAGAGAGAGAGAGGGAGGAGATTGGTTACAGCCTATCAGGAAGTATGGGGTGATGATGGGTTTCCTGTTTTATGCGGGGAATGTTGATCTTTAACAAGAAGATAAGGAGTAATTTGTCCAGGTAGAATGTAAAGGATAAGAAGGATATTAAATGGACCAGACCTAAGCCATTATAGACCAGTGTGCTTGGAATTATGGGATAGGGAGGGTTATTGTCACAGGTATATGTGTGGATTACCTTCTCATTTATGACAGATAAGGAGTCGGGCTGGTCCAGGAAGAGGCGAAGAAGCTCCACGTTGGCCTCCTCCGAGGCAATGTGTAACGCAGTCCGCCCACTTTTACGATCCTGAGGGAAACAAAAAAGAAGGAGTTTATGAATAGCTGTTTGTGGCAGGTGTGGGTAGGGGGGGCACGGGGAGAAGTGGACTCACCTTGCTCTTGTAGGAGGATCCCATGGCCATCAGGGTGCTGACACACTCCCCTAGAAACTTCCGCTTTTGCAACAGCGTCTCAGCCTGGGGGCTCAGCGGGGAAACATGCTCCAGTTCCTGGATCACGGCATTGTGGGACAGCACCGCCACGTGAAGTGCTGTCAGACCTGGTTGGGGGACCACAGGAAGTGAATTGGGGGGGGGGGTCGCTGATTAGGGGCTGTAGGTAACAAGGGCAGAGTCTAAGAACTCTGGGCCAGAGTTTAACTCTGGAGTGAAACAGGAGATTGAGAGTGGCTGAAGAGAACATGGAGGTACCTTCATAGTTGATGGCCTCCATGTCCACTTGCTGCATGCTGGCCTGCATGGTCCTCTGTACGGCCTGCAGGGACAGGGATGTTGTTAAAGTGAAAGCTGGCATCCCTATCTTGCCCCTAAAGGGTTAACACGGTTCTTAGCCTTCCCTGTGTCATGCAGGAACCGGTTCATTGTTACAAGATAAGTGCCTTCTCACGAAAGAGGCCAGCCAATGAGGTTCCGAGGAACTGGTCCTGCAGGCTTTTTCTCCCCCACTGCTTACGAGAAAGGGGATTTTAATCCGCCAAACTTTTTTTTCACTCCCGTATGAGGAAATGAACTCTAGAAGCAAGCGTGCCGATGATGAGGAAGTCACATGGACATCAACAGGCTTGGCAGCAAGGGCAAGTGTAAATAAGGCAACTGACCGTAGCTGAAAGAATGCTTCTGTGCATTACCGCCAGCCGGCGTATGAAAAGAGGAGTTTGACACGGTGAAAGGCGTAAAATGAAAGAGAGAGGATATACAGGCAGTGGTGAAACGAAGGACACAGAGACAAACAAGACTTGTGAACGTTCAGAGTCTCGAAAATCTTGGCTTGTAGTAAAAAGGCGGACAGATACTTAGATGGAAAAATGAAGGTGGAGTAAAATTTTCTCCGATAAACGTGTCCAGACACACCTTGAGCTCTAGATCAGTGTGGGAGTATGAAACCAAATCCTACCCCCCCTTTTCCAATGCCTGAGGTCCTGTTATACAATGTAACAGAGCGATAAAAAACCTTGTTGTCTTAGAGGATGTATGATAGACCACGCCTGTATGAGGGATGAGGTGTGAGACCACAGAGAAACAGGAAACTTGATCTCTGCCCATATCTTGTGAATGTATTACATTTTTAAACCTAAATAAAATGAAAGGGAAGATAAATGTATTTGTGATGGTCTCCCCCAGCGGGGACACAAGTGGTAGATTCTGCATGCTCACCTGGAGCATTAGGGCATGGCCTTTCTCAGCACAAACATGAAGCGGCGTTCGCCCCCATTGGTCAAAAGTGTTGATCTGAGCTCCTAGTGTCAGGAGGTCCTGCACAATCAGGTGCTGGTTGGCGGCCACGCCCACCTGCAGGGCACTCTGGGTAAGGAGTCGAAGGACGGAAAGGTCAGCAGTGCCAGTTAAATGTTAAACAATGCCAACGCTGAAGGTATTTCTCTAAAATAAACACATCCTTTGGTTAATGAGCTATAACTGAACACCAGAGATAAAACACTCCTGGAATGCCAGATATGTTCATTTATCACTTTTCGATCTGCAGGCACGCTTGCTTTTCGTGCCAGTGCTGTCACGCGGCGTCAAGGGGCATGACACCACACGAAGCAGAATGTGCTGACGTCCGCGGTCCCACCCACCTGACTGTTACGCTCCTTGATGTCTAACATGCCGATTTCGGCCATCTTCCTGGCGAGAACGAAGGCCAGCGCCCGCCTCCCCTGTGCCACTGCGATGTTCAGGATCCTGAGGGCCAAGGAAGGGAGGTGGCAAACAGAGATGAGGTGTCAAAGGGTGGCCTGCCCGGCCCTGGGGAGTCTCGCGTGGCAGGGGACTCTCTCTGTCAATGACGAGTCATGGAGTTACACTCTCTAATGGGCCTTTGAATCTCAGCACTTATTAACCTTAAAAATGTCAATGGAGAACTTTTTAGTAATTACATTTTAATCATTTACAACTTTCTCCATTTCAGCTCTTTATTCCTGTTCTGTCTCATCCCACCACCTGTCCACCTACTTGTGGCCCTTTATGTTTTCCTGATGTGGTCCCTCCCATGCAACTATTACCATGGACAACAGGCTCCCATTAGTTACATGGCATCCTGGCCACCTCAGCCTGCTCCTTACTCCTGATTGGTCAGTGACCAGTGTAGCAAGACCCTGTGACCCTTCCTTGGGACCTCGAGCAAGGCGAACATCTTGCAGTAGGTTATGATCTGAGTCGATACCGCCAGAGGAACAGCAGTGGTACGAAATGAGAACTCACGTGTCACCGTCTCCGTCCTGCACTGCCAGCTGATCTGGGGTCAGTCTCTGCAGCTTTTCCTCCTCCTGACGGATCTGCCACTGGAAGAAGGACATGCCCCCCAAGATCTGTGTGGATGGGGTAGTGAACGGCATGGAAAAGGCCGCAGGATCTGGCTGGGGAGTGAAGGGAGTGGGGAAAGGACCGGTGATGCCTGTCTGGGGCAAGTAGCTGGGGACCTGATTCTGTTCATGGAGACACGAGGGCATGGATTTTGGGGGGGTGTAAAAGGACAAATTGTCATTGGGGAGATAAGGCGATGGCTCCTGTTTTTGTGACAGAAAGTTCATCTGGGGGGGGCTTCCAACCAGGTCCATCTGGGGGGGGCAGGGGCTCTCCTGTACCTGCACCGTCATCAAGGAAACGGGGGAACACTCTCTGCTGTCACTCGTAATGTCACAAATGCCCAGGAAGTGCTCTGGGCTCTGGACATTATCCTTTAGGGGACCATCCACGTCGCCATGACAACAGAGCACCTGGGACATGAGAAAAAAAAGAAGAATGTTTGGGAAAATTGGCAAAACATTATTACGGTCTTAGTATTTTGGAAGATGATGAGGAATCGGTACCTGGATGTTGCCTAGATAAGTGTCGGGGACGATGACCGGGCTGTACTGGCATGAGGCTGGCTTCTTAGGGCTGGAAATGCCAGGAGGGGATCTTAAAGCTGGCCGGTTGATGCCTTGCTGATCTGTGGTCAAAGCTAGGCAAAGTAAAAACAACAGAAAGATCAGAATGTTGTTTAATATTGTTTTCATTCTCTAGTCAGGATTACTCACAGCATACAGAGACATTAACAGGTCATTAGAGGGAATGTTATTCTTATGTTTATTGTATTATTTAGTTAACTCTCATTAGTATTTAATTCGCTAGGTAACTTTTATTAGAGTTGACGGAATTTGCTGTACCTGAGCAGTTATCGACTCCTTTAGAGAACAGTCTCACCTGAAATAATAGTTAAAGAATCATATATTGTTACAGGGTTACAGTGCCTATTCTTGCATTTAATGTTTTTAAGGGATGCTCGTTTATCTTCTTGAGCTGATCAGAGATTAACGCTGGAGCGTACCTGCATGCCGCGCTTCTGCATGATCAGCTCCTTGACTGGGTTCTTGACTCGGACGCCTTGGTACGTCGCCTTCAGATTCGCGGTCACGGTCAAAGAATCGCCTGTTCAGTGGAGGTACAGAGGTTATCACCAGGGACGGAAGCCGAAATAAAAGTCCTCTGTCCTGCTGTTTTGCTTACTTCATTATGATTTGGATAGGCTTCTCAAACGTAAGCCTATTAGTGGAGAGAACTCGTTATAAATCAAAATACGGACATAAATTATATTCCAATTTGTGTAATATATATGCAATATATAGGCATAACAATATGGTTATGTTATGTAGGCCTATGTGTTTATACATTATTATTCTATTTACTAACATGTCTTTTAACCCTCATGGTTGTGTTATACTACTATTATAATAGAATCAATATTATAATAGATAGATGCCTATCATATACTCAACATAAGTTATAGTTCTTTCCGTATCTTTGTCAAAATTAATAATATTTATGCAATAAAGCTTTCAAAAGTATTTGTTTCACGCTATATACGACAAGCAAAACCGATACAAAGTTAGTAGTTTCCTTACCCTGTGCTCCTTTCTTAAAGGCGCAGGTTTCGCTGTGGCTGCGAGTGACTGTCCAGGTTTTTCCCGAGTCGGAGTCGGAACTCGGTGACTCGGGAGACCGGGCTCCGACAGACTCGGGCGGGGACGAGGAGTTTCCGAAGAAAGACCACAAACTCCACGGGCTGCCTGTCATCACGCCCTCCTGGTCCATCAGGACTCCTAAGTCATCCGCCGTCGTTTCAATGATCATATCGTTTGAGGGGGCTTTCTATTCGTCTTTATGGTTCAGTAACTTCGAGCTTAACTTCCCCTTTGACTTTCCTCTCTTCTCTTTTACTGCGCTTTAGTGACACTATTGCCGGTCCTGCTGTAGTAAGTGTATCTATAGCGGACCAATAGGAGAGCAGGTCCTGCGACGCCATTGGTTGTTCTGGCAATATTATTTGTGTAAATGTTTAACGTTGGAAATAACATTCGATTGCTGTTTTCGGGAACACTGTAATTTAATACTGAATTCATTGAAAGGGGCATATAAAAGGCCTACATGTATTTAATAACAAAACAAGTATTATTCGGGTTATCTGAGAATAAGCCTATATATTTTCCCACAGTATATGAAACTATATAATAGTATATGAAATTATTTGAATTGTGACTTTAAGAACTGAAGTAGTTCAATTTAATTTTAAACGGACCATGAGGCAAAGTTCACTATGGTTAACGGCAGGCTGAATTAAACTAAAGCGTGACCGTAAGGCTACATTAATAATAAATTCCATGTCCCCTTTCTATGCCACTATTTCTGACTTTAGCGTCAGACCAACCAGTATACAGCATATTCATAGTGTAATGCGTAACAATTTTTCTTATGACGAAATTCACTGAAATTAGCTGACAATTCAGTTTAAGACGGGGGTTTTCACCCCCTGGTCGACCACCCCCTGGGGGTCCTGTAGCGCAGTTGCGGGGGGGGGGACTACGCAAGCCAAACTGTCTTTTATTAGTATAAGGCTTACTCGTCATAACTTAATTCTTACTAGTAAAAATGACATTCTTACTAATAAAAATGCAATTTTAACTAGTAAGAATATGAATTCAAGATATCGAATTTGACTATTAATATATTCCCATTGACTTTCATTGTATTTTTACCTCACATAGGCCTATCCTATATTAAATTTTCACTACTAATTGTAGAGCTATCCAATTCAGTTCTTACTAGTAAAAACCCATATTGTAGATATCTGTAGTTACATTTTGACTAGTAAGAATTCCAGATCCATAAATCCATAATTGAGTTTTTACTGATAAAAATGCAATTGCAGTTTTCTACAAAGTATTTGTAGAGATATGAAATTACACATATCCAAAATGTGAATTCAATCTCTACAACGTCCTGTTTTGTACGCCTTATTATTGCATTTTTACTAGTAAGAATTAAGTTATGACGACTAACCCTTATACTAATAAGGTTTCCTAACTCTGATTTATATTCAATTGGGGATTCGTCAAATTCAAATAAACTTAAAAATCACGATTAGATTAGGCTAAGTATAGGGGGACGCAAGTATTCAGATTTATATTACATTCTGTGATCTGACGGACCAAGAAAAGTAAAACAGTTCCTCTTCAGTTCATGGTTAGAGACTGTAAAACGTTTATCAAAACGCGACATTTATTAAGGCACCCGCCAGTTCTGGCGAACGCTGAAAATCTAGCAAAATAAATAAATAAGATTATATCTAGAATGGCCATCTAAGAAATTCAGAACTAAGTCGAATGGACAACAGCGCCATCATGCGTTAGAAATAGCCATGATACATGATGTTACTTTCTGGGATTCAGCAGGTGTCCGCAACTTTACGATCTGGAAACAAACAGCAGCGACAAACTCACAAAAGGACCCCCGGGCGATAGTAACCGTAACAAGCCTGTGGCCTCCGTGCTGGTCTTGTTGGGCAAGGTGCCAATGAAGGCGGCTGCTCACGTGGCCATGCACCTTTGGCTTTCCTGCTGTGTTCTTCCACAAGTCAAAAGATCGGTCAAATTATGCCTAAATTGATCGTGTTGAGAAAAGTCCAGGGTACCTCGAGCCATGAAAATGGCTCCATGCTCGCCACAACCTAGCACTGGATTAGCGTTTCTGAGGAGGGGAGGAAATGCAGCAATGTTCTTGTATTGAAATGAATTATTTTTTATTAATAATAATTTATTAATAACTTAATTCATATTAATTAAAAGGGAAACTATATATAGATACAAAAAAATTATTTATTTTTCGGATATGCGATCTATAACCGACTTTAGGAAAATAAATCAAACACACGTTTATGAAAACAGATTAGGCAAGATGATTATATTGCTTAATATCACATTACAAGTTGTGGAAAATATTTAACAGAGCCCAAGGCAAGGTAGTTATCAAGATACTTCAGTTTTAGTAATTTCAGAGGAAATTAAAAAATAAAATCTTTAAGTCAGGTAAACATTTTTACTGTGAGGAAAATGGTAATTTCACACAGACTTTTTATAGGAGTCTCACCCAAGCACCGTCAGGATCAATCCCTGTCCTGCCCTATTCTGTATGTCATTTCCCCAGTTAGACTGCAGGTGTCGCTGGCCATCTCCTTTTTCCATCAAGTTCCAGAATTGTCATCGTTCTATTCCCAGCGTGTTCCCTGGGATGTTGTGTGGCTGAATGGGCTAAGGGGGGCGCTGCTAACTCATCATCTCCTACATCATGTTAGAATTTTTGTTTTTGTGTCCTAGGTCCTATTTTGTACACCTTATTAATCATATCTTCTTGTGTTTCTGTGTGAGACTTTATTTTGTATCTTTTAGTTATCTAGTTATGCCGTTTGACTTATGTGCTTTGTACCCCCTAGGGTTTGATTCCTGAGCCCTTAGTGCCTATTATCTGTTCCCTACAATTCCAAGTCACTTGGATATAATTGGTAATAGCCCACACCGGTCCGTTCTCATGTCCCTGTTCCCCTGTCAGTCATTGTTGATGTAGACTTTAGTCTGTTGTGTGACCCCTTTATACATTAGAGCTGTTGCTCTTGCTTGTGCTTCATGTTTAGTCCCAGCCCTTGTTAGTTCTGGTTTCACTTACCCACCTTTGTTTTGACGCCTCATGGTCTGTTTAGTTTTCTAATAAGCCACCAATTGAATCTCTAAGCCAGCTACTGAAACATCACTCCATCCATACATTCAGAAGTGGCAACCAACAACCAAATTCAACTGAAGTTTCTATGTCTTTCCTAATGTTATTTACAGGTAATTTTAGGGACATTGGCACACATTAAACCACACAGTGCTGTGGGAGACAGGAACACTCCGAATGTACAGGCTGTTCAGATGGGAGTAGAGGCCCAAACGTGGTGGAGCAGTGGTGCTGGATGGTCATCAGTCAGGGGTGATTTTAGGATTTTTTTAAGGTGGAGGACATAAGAGGGGCCATAATTCATACAGAGGGGGGTGACCTTATGCTGCATTCCATTTACCTCGGAGGTTGGAACTCGGAACTGGGAATGAAGTTAATCACATCTCAGTAATCTAGTCAGAAAGCCATTTAGCAATACCAGGGACCTGTTTCAGAAAGCAGGATTTCTTGCTTAGCCGGATAACTTAATTTACCGCGGTTTAAGTGGCCTTTATTTTTGTTCACTTACATTAAGCCCAGACTACCTTAAATCTGACAAGTTATCCGGCTAAGCGAGAAATCCTGCTTTCTGAGATTCTAGCCTGGTTAATTGGTAGGCATTGTTAGTAACAGGGCTGTGGAGTCGGAGTCGGAGTCGGAGACAATTTTGGGTACCTGGAGTCGGAGTCGGCAAAAAGTTAACCGACTCCGACTCCTACTAAATTTAAATGGGAATTAAAAAAGTAAGTTGAAATGTCCCAATTCACAAACAGTCATAATGAACTACTTCTCTGCTGTAAGAATAAAGCCCAATGCATGCAGTGCATAATGTTACCACAAAACGAACATGTCAAATAAACATGAAGCATGCTTTTCATTGACTGTATGCGTCACTATATGGGATGTAATGCACAGGTAAGGTGCGGCACCGCTTTCCATTGTGTCGTGTTCCACTGTTACAGGGAACTGTGAACCTAGCCTAAAGCCCCCCATACATATACAGATGCACTGCCGATTTTTCGGCCGTTCAACGAGTCATCACGCGTCAAACGCCTGAAAAATCATCTGGTGTGTTCTCAGCTCCGTCGGCTCCCCTTCGCTATGTGCTACCCTTGAAACCTTGTTTTCATTGTGTTTGTCTTTAATCTGGCATTATAGTAGAGTGTTGGCTTCCTAGCCAGTAGTTCTGTGGTGAAATGACATGTATGTTGCCTTCCTTTCCTTCAATGGATGTAGAAAATACATTAGCATAGTATATACATACAGAGGAGTCGGGGAGTCGGAGTCGGAAGATTTAGAAACTGAGGAGTCGGAGTCGGAGCATTTATCTACCGACTCCACAGCCCTGGTTAGTAATACCAGTTGATAACAATGCATTACTCTATTTTACACATAAAAACACAATAGCAACACATCCACAGATAGCGGTTGGACAGTACTGTGTACACGACCGATTTAATGAGCCACAAATAAGACATAAGTGATAATGAACAGTATAAAACTATACCTTTAATTTATGTTGAAAAAGGGTGCAGCAATCATAAATTCTGAGGTCGGGGTTGTATAGATTCCTCCGACTCCCTGAGTCGGAATTTCGACTTCAGGGGGATGTTCTAATTGAGATTTCTGACTAGGAACTTGGAATTTCCGAGTTACGAGTTCAAATGGAACGCAGCATTATCATTAGCCAAGGATATATTTAGAGTCCATAAGTGACAGGGGAAGGGGCCCTCCAGGAACCAGATGGCCTTCAGTAGGTTCCAGTGCCCCTGTGACCCCCACCCCTATCATCAGGGAAAAGCTGAAGTGTCCTCAGGGCAGATGTGAGAAAGAAGGAAGTCAATCATGGTCTTGATAATGGGGGGAGGCGGGTGGAGTGCGTGCGGTAGGTGATGGGCCAGCGTCATCTCCCACGCGTCCACCAGGACCACGTCCAGACCGTAGAACATTCCACGAAGGATCGCATCCAGCTGCAAGGAGAACCAGTCGCTGTTGTAGAGGCTGACCTCAGTGTCCAGGTCCTGGGGGTTGGCCGTCCTCAGGACCACCAATGTGCCAGGGGCGCGATCAAGCAGCCGCAGCACCGCAGCACGGATGGAGCGCAGCCTGCGGATGTAGACCTCCACCGGGAAGGTGCTGAAGTGGGACCAGATGCTCAACACAACCACCGTGTTGCTGCCGCCCTCCACGCCCTCCAGCTCATCCGCTACGTAGCGCAGCTGGTTGGTCGCCACCGAGGAGAAGCGGATGGGTGGCCCGTGGCAGCGGTACTCAATCAGGATGTTGTGAACGCTGTCCACGGACAGGAAGGGACCCACATTCTTCGGGCTATTCAGATTGAACTCTTTCAAGTCTAAACCAAAACGACAAGGAGGGTATGACTCATACAAGACTACTCAAACTTACCCATCTGTTAACATGGGCTACAGCTGTGCTAGTGATAAAATCCAACCGATACCCCAGCTTTATTCAAACAAGCCCCAGGACCAGCAGTCATGAAGGAACTAGACTGGTATCTAAAACATTATCAGGGGCTACTTGAATTTCGTGACTAATGTGTAGTTAGATCAAGTGCAAAATTGCTATAGAATGACACTGTCCAGTGGTTTTCTATTATGTATGATACCGATTTTAGTGATACATTTCTAGGGTTTACCATAAACAGGACTATTAGAGGGACTATTAAACTGAATTAGGCCAGCTGTTGTTAGTCTGCTGAGGTTGGGCATGTCGAATGACACAGGAGCAGCAAATGGGAGGTGTCTCACCAGGCAGTGCCGTGGTGAGGTACTCGAACCACTGCCGCACCGTGGAGTCCCCGTATATGCGCAGCACCTTCCCCTCCAGGCAGCGGGTGACGGCTGCCGTGTCATCAAACTGCCGCAGCAGGACGTCGTTGGTAGGCCGCCACACCTCCTTGTAGTAAAAGCCCGCGGGTTTGAAGATATCCAGATTTGCAGCTCCATTCGGCTTTTCTGCAAGGAAAAAAAAAAAAAAAAACAGAAAACTGTCATCTCATTCGCCCGTCATCAGCCTGCAAACCCACCCCAGAGTTGTTTTTATTCAAAAGGCAAACTGGAAAGCTTTGTGTTAAACACTAAAAGGTGACATTTACTGTTTGATCATTTTCCTTACAGCAGCATGGTGGGTAACACTCTCTCATGCCCCAAGCCGTACAGGGTTCAAATTATGCTCCTGATTTGTACATGGAGGTTGTACCCTTCTGTTGTGTGGGTTTCCTTGTGCAGTCTGGAGTCTTCTTATACTCCAGAAACATGCAGGTAGCTGAATTGACGTCTTTAAACTGCCCATTGTGTGTATTTCCCCCGCAATAGGGTGACATCCCATCCAAGGTGTCTTTAGCCCTGTCTCCAATGATCTGTGTCAGCCTGTCCTGCGATGATCATGAAGATGTATGGTAACTGCACTTGTCTACCTTTTGCTTACTTATCTGTATTGATTAATTGGCAAATATCCACACTCAACTCTAGGGGCCAAGCAGTGAATAATTGTAAGGTCTGCTCTCTAACCTTCGGTCTCCTTCAGCACGGTGATACTGTCCAGCCCAGATGAAGGAATGGGAACCTTGAGGTTTACCAACCTGAAATGACAAGTTGGAAAAACAGGCAGATGCATAAGAGAGACAAAATGGCTTCAGGTCTTAGCTGGAAGCCTTTGGCTGTAAGTAGCTTCCCTGAGCTGTTCCTGTAAATCACATAGCAGAATAAAAATGCTTTGGAAAAAACGTCACTCAAGGATGAACAATAGTATTGCGGCTCTTTTTTCGGACCTCCTTTGACTGCTTGTAGTATGTGGGCTGATACAACAAAACATCTCCAGCAGAGTAAAAGATGAGCAAAGGATAATACTTCCTAGACTAGATACCATTTCCTCTTTTCATGTTGCTGTCATCCGAAGTTGTACATTTCGGACTATTTTCAATTCATTACGAAACTGGCAGCTGCTGTGGTCTGGGGAGAACAGAGTCAACTCCAGACCTGAAGTTGTCTTTCTCCACGGAGCTCATGAAATAAAAGGGTGTCCCTTGGAAAGCATGTCACCTGGTAGTCATGACGGGAATGTCATCCTGACTTAAGTCATTTGTGGGCACCTTGGACCCAGGCTAACAGCCGGCTGGGTCAAACAGCAAGTGGGTTGAAATGGTTTAAACCAGGGGTGTCAAACTCCAGTCCCGGAGGGCCGAAGCCCTGCACATTTTTGGGTGTCTCTTCATTTAACACACCTGATTCAACTTCTTGCACCTCCTTGTACTAATTACCACACAGCTCCCGAGCCAAATCATTTGTGGTGGAACAGGAAAAGAACACACAGGGTTCCAGCCCTCCAGGACTGGAGTTTGACACCCCTCGTATAAAAGAAACCCATAGAATATTCCTTTGTGAAACTTCAATAATCTTTCACGAGAATTTAGAAACTAGTGGTGGGATGGTGGTGCAGTGGTTAGCACTGTTGTCACACCTTTGAGACCACGGTGTGAGTCTCTACTCAGACTTCACGTGTGTGTGAAGTCTGCATGTTGTCATTGTGGGGTTTCCTCTGGGTATTCGGTTGATGTGTCAGTGTGCCCCTGAGATGGGTTGGCACCTCATCCTGGTTTGTTCTTGTCTTGTGCTCATAGACTCTGGACCCTTAATAAGACAAGCAGTTACAGAAGATGGACGGATGGCAAGCAACATTCATGCGGATATCATGCCATCCTCACTGGTGTTCCATGACCTTTGACCTCACAAGTTACCTATCAGATATTCACAAAATCCTCTGCTTTATGATCCTCACCTTTGGAAAAATAGCTCCTCCCTACTTGTTATCAGGTGCTTTAGATACCCAGCCTTGGAGTGGCTGACCCGTGAATTGCAGCTCAGTAGCTTGGGCTTGTAGCAGAACCAGGGCTCCCCCGTGTGGTGGTTGGTGTAGTTGCACGACGGCAGCTGAGTGGACAGGCAGAGGTTACAGATGGTGGTCTCCGAGAAAGGGCCGAAACGAAACTGGCTCTTGAAGTAGACGCGGTCGGGGTTGTCCTCCCGCAGCCTCTTTAGTACTTGCACTGCCTCGCTGGGGTGTACCAGATTTATCTCCACGTGCGCTTTCCCTGCCCAGGGCAGCCAGAACAGCACAGAATACAGTCCATTCTCATGATCGACCACGTGTCCGACCACACCAGCCCCCAGCTCGGGTGAGTGCAGTCGGGCTAACAGGAAGTCCCCTCCGTGCTGCTTGGGCCGGTCTCGGAAGTCTCGCATGTGGACCAGCACCTCCAGGTGGTCGCCCACACGCCATTCCCTGTCATTTTCTAGTGGTAAAATGGAAAAGGAACTGCTGGAAGGGCTGCTACTATGGTGCAAGGATGACACTGGCAAATGTGGCTCGGGCCAGGCTATGGACTTCAGCAGGTGCTCCTGCTCAACGGCTTCCTCGGGCGACAGAACCAAGCCATGAGAGCTGCAGTTGCTCCAGTTCCGCTCCAGCTGCCCTGGGCTTCTCGTCCTGAAGGGGGCAGTAATGGACTGCTGAAGCTGGTAGAGAGATGCCTTGCAGTCCAGCTTCTGTGTAAACAGAGCGCAAAGTTACTGAAGTAAAACAAAAATGGCTGGAATCACATTGCTCTAGGAACTATAGTTGCTTTACCTTCCTACCAAGTGGGACGTGCGAACAGGATATCTAAAGCACAACTGATACAGGTCTGGTATCGTATAACAGGCGATTCAACAGAACAAGTGGGGTAGCTTCCAGTTGACTTTTTGCATGTTACCTCTCTCCCAAGTGAAAACAGAGGTGAGATGGGCAGCCTTCATGGTTTTGACACAATATTCAACAAAGCAGGCATGCTGAGCTACCACAAGCTGGGGCCAACTTCATCTCCAAGGACCGTTGGCCTTCCCAAGCCCCCCTGGCAGTCCCCTCACCTCCAGGCTGTAGATGTTGCGTAGCAGGAAGGCAACGCATGACAGTATCAGTACGACGAACAAAGGGCTGTACTTGGACAGATTTCTCCACATGGTCTTGATCCTCCAGTGCCTCCCTCTGCCATTTTTCATTGGCGCCTCATAGCTCGTGGTCAAGGTGTCGCTGACCACTTGTTTGTGATCAGTGTCAGGGGCTGAAATGGAATCTTCTAGAAACGAGTAAGGAGAAAGGAGACAGATATGACAAAGGCTTAAAGGTCTCCTTTTCAATCTATTTCAAAATGTGAGTTTAATTGCATCATCATTATCTCTCAGTTCTTCAGTAGTTCTCCCTATCACCTTCTTCATCTATCCATCCATTTCCTAAACCCGCTTGTCCTATGCAGGGTGGCAGGGGTCCAGAGCCTATCTTAGAAGCTACGGGAACAAGGTAGGGAACAACCCAGGATGGGGGTCCAACCCATCGCAGCCACTGCATTCTGACTCATTAAATTTTCATTTACTCATTTCATTTACCAAGATCTAGGAGTGACGACCACAATACTCATCAGTAACCCTGGAATTGGCCTGATATAACCAAGCTGAATCTGTTTGGTATTTTGTAAGCATACTCCCATGTTTCATACATGCATCAGTATATTTATACTGAACACAAATGCCTCTACAGCAGGAGGGGGGTGGTTCATCCTTATTTATTAGTTCCATCTGACTCTCGTCCGCTCCCAGTTATTTCGTCTTAGTAACCCGAAACCTTAGGATAACGGCCATCCTTAAACCAGCCATTCCAGACGGTCATAGCAATAAGAGCACCGTCCGCCTTTACAACAAACCCTTCTTCCCCGAGTCCCTTCCGGCCGTCCCGCCCCGACATACTGTCTCACGTGTGAATCCACCGAAACGTTTTCACGCCATCATAACTGTACCAGAAACTGATGGGACTGCAAGAGTTCAATGCCCAGAAAAAGAGCAATGCGCAAATGAGGACGTGATCGGAGGCTTGTACCATAAAATCCATTCACAGCTACAATATCTTTATAAATCGGATGCACGGATTTTATCCAACAATTTCTTCCCTCGCGAAACCATACTAGGCATGCATTGCCTTCGATGAAAGCTTGCAGTAAAAAAAACCCTATTGTCGTTGTTGCAATATCGGAAACGACTTGAAAAAGAATGCTTGTTTATGGAAAAACTTAACAATACGTTAGTATTCATTTCAAAGCAAAAGCGCGGTACTTACTTGCCAGCAGAAATATTTCCAATGTATAGCTATCGAGATATTTACCATTTCTTCAGTTCTAAGCATTGCTCCACATATGTATCTTTTTAAGAACCTACATTCTTCGTTGTAACATTTACATAAAAAATACTTTCAAGCAATCCTTATAGTACAACTATACTTCCCATATATACAGTTTAACATTCGGTTTTATTTTTAGACGGGTCTGAATGCACCCTCCTCACAGCAAATTCTGACGGCGGTTGGATAGACCAACCAAGTTTTCCATTGGCTGGCTTCGGATTACGTCACCCCGGTCCGTCTGATAATACGTCCAGATTCTCTGTGCATTGCACTGTATTCTGGAGTTCTCTAAGTAATATGCTGTGGTGTGATATAAAAGGTTGCAGTTTAACTGGAACCGAGCTGGTTGCTATTTATTTTTTATGTTGTGTGCCTGATTATTTTTGCAGTCCCCCTGGTTTATTTTGTTATGTTTGTATACTGTAAATAGATATTTAAATAAAAAATGGGAGGGGTGATAAATAACGTGTTTGGGCGTTGGATAAATAAGAATGGTAATTTCAGTGCCTCAGTTCAGTGCGTTGAGAAGTCGTTAATTATAAATTGTCCTCACTCGTTAATTAGGCCTGATTTTAGTATAAATTAGAACTATAGCTCACTAGTACTGCGATGACCGTGTGTTAAATAAAATGAAATTTTAACATGAAATATTACTTGAGAACAAAACTTACTGGAGGTGTTGGAAATTCATCAAATAAAACGGAATGCAAGGGCAGGACCTGTGGCGCCGCTGTCTGTTGTCTGTCCCAGTTTTAGGCGCGGTACGTATTTGGCGTACGTACTCAGCGTTCACGTTTAGCGTTCATTATTGCGTACGTATTTAGCGTGGCCCTCTTGCCGGCCTTTTCCTTCTTTGCGGGCCACCATGAAGTAAGTGCCATACTGACGGTCTACATCCACCGTCATCTAAGGGTTTATCGGCTTTTTCATATCCATATTAGCCACGATAATCATTTAGAGGAAATTCTAAACTACTAAGCCAGCGTTATTTTTGTCTTTACTCCGCAGGGTCGAGCTTTGCAGCTTCAGCGGGTATAAAATCTACCCCGGCCATGGCCGCCGGTACGCCAGGATAGACGGAAAGGTAATAATGGCTAGGAAGTCTTTTTCATTTTTGGAGGGATACTGTTTCGGAGATTCTAAACCAAATCATCGTTATTAGTACCATTATTTATTTATTACACAGTGTGGGATGTTTTCAGTGTGAACCACGATTACGATACCGAAATTTAAATTCAGGTTTTACGACAGCAGTTAGCAAATGAACAAGCTCCGGTTTTAATAGATGTAGTGGTTTTGTAAGGCTCGTGGTCTAGTCCAAGCATCACTGGGTTATAAATAATATAAATATAAAACATAGGATGAAGCTACGTCTGCCGTGTGCGTAGAATACTGGGGCGCTGCGAAGCGTGTTTTTAAACCGGTATCTTATGCCTTTGCTTCATGTCTTATTTGCTAATTGTGTAAACTGGCATATCTTTATCACGAATCTCTACGTGGCGATGTACGTTTGCAAAGGGGTTACAGTGAAAGACTTGGACATTTTTATCCCTTGATTTTTGATTATATTAATGATTTATTACTTGTTAAATTAATATTTCTTCTACAAGCCATGGGTCCAGAAGATTTGATTTTTCTTAGTTGTCTGGGTGTGTATATAATTTTGTTTTGTTCTTAACATCTAAAATTCAACCTCATCTTGGTTGAGAAACGATTGATTTATGTATGTTCATTTTTGTTGGTGTTATACAATGGCAATTGGTATTGGTCAATATTCCCATTGAACACAGAGCTGAACTATTCTGGGAGACCCTCATCTGTGGTTGTGGCTTTGCAGGTCTTCCAGTTTCTAAATGCTAAGTGTGAGTCGGCCTTCCTGGCCAAGAGGAACCCCAGGCAAATCAACTGGACCGTGCTGTACAGACGCAAGCACAAGAAGGGTCAGAGTGTAAGTCTGTCCGATCGGTCGCCGTCTTCAGACTGCTACAGTCATGTCTCTGTTTCTGCTTTGAAATGTTTTTCAGTTGTGAGACGTATCAAAGAGATTAATTCAAGAGCAAAATTGCTGCGGATTCACCTTGCCCACCTTGAGTCCTGTTTATTTTTTTTTGGGCTGAGCTTTGTGTGAGCCTCAAAGTGCAGAAACAATCTGTTACTAATGTTTAATCACTGTTGGTGTTGTGGGAGATTGTAAGGCTGATTGCATATTTATTGTAGAAGCACTTTATTTCTGTTCACTGAGGGATGTAAATGTTGTTTGATAGTTCAGCTCTCCTGGTTGTGCTCCAGTTCTACATACAGGGATAATTGAACAGTAACCCAAATGACAGCAAGCCAATGCCCTGTCCTCATTCCAGTCTATTTTTGGATGATACCCAATTTGCTGCTTGCCTCTCTGTACACACATTTGGGGCTTGTATGGGTGTCGTCCGCATGAAGCATATTAATGATATTAAAAACATGCGGCGTTGCATTCCAACAGGAAGAGGTGACGAAGAAGCGTACCCGTCGTGCAGTGAAGTTCCAGAGGGCAATCACCGGTGCCTCATTGGCTGAGATCTTGGCCAAGAGGAATCAGAAGCCTGAGGTGCGCAAGGCCCAGCGGGAACAGGCCATTAGGTAAGCAGTGCCGGGGGGTGGTGAATGGTGTGTATTGTCCTGGTCACAATCTTCTACAGAGAAGTATTAAATATTAAAATATTGCATTGTCTTGTGTAGCCCATAGCAGGATTTGAAGCCCTCACTTTTTGACAGAAATGCACTGGTATATTCATGTATGGTCTAGAATAGTGCAGTTTCAGATTTGTATATGCTTTCCCTAGCGAGCGGTCACGATTACTTCGTGTGTCAGTTTCTAAGTGATCAGGCTCACTTTTCTGTTTGCTGTTCCAGAGCTGCCAAGGAGGCCAAGAAAGCCAAGCAGGCCATGAAGAAAACTGCAGCTCCACCTGCAAAGGTAAGTTTCTGAAGCATGACTATATTCCTATAAGGTAAAATCTGTACTGTCAGTGCTGCTGTTTTTGGCTCCAGAATAAAATGTGAATAGCATTAGCTTCACTTGTCCTCATTGGAAGTGTTGACCTATATTCATAATCAGTTTTCTTCTGGTAAACCTCTCATTCCAGGCCCCTGCCAAGGCTGCTCCAAAACAGAAGATCGCCAAGCCGATGAAATCCAACGCACCACGTGTGGGAGGCAAACGCTAAACCTCACTCTTGCAAGAAATGTTAATAAAATTTTCACAGGAATAAATATTGTGTGGATTGACATTTTTGTGTGTGTGTGTTAGTTCTGTTTATGGCTTTGCCGTTTGTAGGTGTCTTGCCGTTCCTAATTAAATACAACAGCTCTTTCAAGTTGTACCACCTTAAAAAAATAGCTGTAAAGGCATTTCCCATCAGAGGTTTTATCATGCTTTGGAAAGTTATAGGTAAGGCTGGCTGTGAAAGTAAATAAGCAGCCCAAAGTGCAAGCTTTACCGCATAATGTATTGTCCTGCTTGTAGAATAGACCAAACAGGTAACCAAAAATGTGTATTTCTGGGCAGTCATTGTTCCCAGTAGAAAACCCTTTCTCACACAATATGCTTTGCCACACAGAAACATACAGATCTTATACAGAAGCTATCTTTATTGGGTTTCTCCAGAGACTGAATGGTTGCTATTGCAGGGTAGATGCCTGTTGTACAATGGACAGTACTACTTTGATTATTTTTTCTTTGGTTGTACTGTGTCAGATGGATGTGAAGGATTCTGCTATTAGTCAAATGTTGATTATGTTAAAATGGTTATACATCATAGCCTCAGCATTTTTATGTCATTTAAACTGTCAAAAATAATTTTGCTGGACCTATAATGGGAAAATGAGTGCAGTAGAGGGTACATCATCTGAATTTAAAAATCGATTGTTAATGGAATTATAAGCAATATCCTCAGAAAGTAGCAGCATGGCGCCTTTTGTGCTGCTGACATGCGCAAACGCGATTTTGGAGAGCGAGAGAACAACATGGCTCAAATCGTACACTTCCGCCTGTGAGCACGCAACATCCGGTTGTGCAGCAGCCATTTTGTATGTTCATGCAAGTCCGTCCCTGACGGTCAAAAAATTGCAGTTCCCACTTGGCAATAAATGCCACTTTTTACGCTTTTATGGGTTATATAATTTCTATGAAAATTGAAAAAGGGTGAAAAAATTAACAGCTTCGCGTGGCAGCTTGGGAAGAATCTTCTCCCGCCAGACTGACGGTAGGATTTTCTGTTTTTGTGGACGCGACAGTCAAGCGTCGTCGGGGGACATGTCGAGCGAGGAGAGCTATCTTGCCATCCAGCGCTATCTGACCGACGAGCGGGAGCCCTACGCGCCGGGGACTCAGGGAAACGCCAAGCGGAAGATCCGCAAGGCCGCCGCCTGCTACGTGGTGCGGGACGGAACGCTGTATTACCAGCGGCGCCAGAAAGGCCTGGACGAGTTCACCGAGTTGGAGGTGGTACTGCAGGCCGGGCGGCGAAAGGAACTGATAGACGAGGCGCACATCGTTCCCGGAGGAGAGCACCTCAACCAGCAACAGACCTGGGAGAGCATCTCGCAGAAGTACTGGTGGAGAGGTAACCGTTTAACTCTAAATCTTCTACTGTTACAAGTTGGGTAGCTTGTAAGATTGATTTAGAACTGGTTAGGTATGTCTGTTTTATAGTTCCAGTGTGTTGGTACTACGTAACCATCAAATCAAATGTTAATCGGCAGCTAATAGTACATTTGCATTTAAATTTTGCTACATTTATGACATTTTTTGCACGACAACACCTTTATTCACATACCCTGAAATGCATGTTAGCATTTCATTTCATGCTTTGCATTTTAAAAGCGCTGATAGAAATTTGTATGTTGAATACAGGCGTGCTGGGACGTGATCAGGAACTCACTGACGGAATCTGAAAGGGTGCTTGTGTATGGGGAGGCAGTGAGGGCTTTCCTTGGGGCCTGGTACTACTACGGAGACATGACAAATGAGTGACGATGCTCCGGTGTTTTCAGGTATACTCAAGCAGGTGAAAGATTATATCCGGGAATGCAGCCAGTGCCGGGGAAGACAAGAGCGTGGGCGTGGCTGGGTGGAAGAAGCCGCGGGGGAGACCGCTGGGGGGCGCCGCGAGAGGCGCAGGGGCACCGCGGCCCCGGATTCGGAGGATGAAGAGGACGAAGAGGACGACGAAATTCCGGAGTTACTGCCTGTCACATCTGGGCAGCAGAAATCTGCCCGGAGCCGCAAATCTATGGCCAAACATGAGCTGGTCTTTGTGAGTGCCTCATTTGCATTTTCAAAGTTACTGCCTTGCATGATCCTGTTTTGTGTAATAGTCTTTAACCACCTTGTCGTTTGTTCACTAAAGTGTGACTGAATCAGTAGGTCATTCATGGGAACAGACATTGCGTAGTGTGTGTATATATAGGATGGAATGTCAGCCAGAGGTATTTAATGGTTGAAGGCTGTTCATGGTTATCTTTAGCAATAGCATGACGATAAATAGACATCATACTGCTTTATATCTATTAAAAATGGCTAGGTTGACAGCAAAGGTGTGGTGAAGCAGCCCCTGCCCAAACATGGCCAGACGCTGCTGGAGAAGCTGAACCAGCAGCGACTGAACGGACAGTTCTGTGACGTCACGCTGCTGATCGAGGGAGAGGAGCACCGGGCGCACAAGGCCGTCCTGGCCGCCTGCAGCGACTACTTCAGTGAGCTGTTCATCGAGAAGGGCGCCGTCTCCAGCCACGAGGCTGTAGTTGACCTCTCAGGTGAGATGCCTAGTTTATAGGTAATTGTTGATTTGGCCTGTGAGAGCCACAGTTTTATAAACCATTGTATAAAACATTATGACAGCGTTATTTTATTAATTTTAATGGAGCTCTGCAGGGTTCTGTCATTGCATTTGCAAAGCCTCACTTCCTGCACAACTACAAAGCTGAGCTTTTCTCCTCTCTCTCTCTCTCTCTCTCTCTCTCTCTCTCTCTCGCCCATCAGGCTTCAGCAAGGCCAGCTTCCTGCCCCTGCTGGAGTTTGCCTACACCTCCTGTCTCACCTTTAACTTCTGCATCATGGCTGAGGTGGCCACAGTGGCACGGCACCTACTCATGACCGAGGTGCTGCAGCTGTGCGAGTCCGTCCACAAGCAGGTGGAGGAGCAGAGGCTTATGGTCTACCAGAGGGGTGACGTCCACACCGTCTTGTCCAGCCAGTCCCTGCCCCCATCCCAGCAGGCATCCGTTGAGGAAGGAGATGTCTATATGGTCACCGTGCAGGATAATGGTCAGACCATGGTCTGTGAAGGCAGAGACACTGTTGGCAGGAAGACCCTGGCTGTGGTAACCCAGGATGGCCAGGCTGTGACAGGCGAGACCCTGGCTGTGGTAACCCAGGATGGCCAGGCTGTGACAGGCGAGACCCTGGCTGTGGTCACCCAGGATGGCCAGGCCGTGACAGGCGAGACCCTGGCTGTGGTCACCCAGGACGGACAGGCCGTGACAGGCGAGACCCTGGCTGTGGTCACCCAGGACGGACAGGCCGTGACAGGCGAGACCCTGGCTGTGGTCACTCAAGATGGGCAGGCCGTGACGGGAGAAACCCTGGCTGTAGTCACCCAGGACGGGCAGGCCGTGACAGGCGAGACCCTGGCTCTGGTCACCCAGGACGGGCAGGCCGTGACGGGAGAGACCCTGGCTCTGGTCACCCAGGACGGGCAGGCCGTGACGGGTGAGACCCTGGCTCTGGTCACCCAGGACGGGCAGGCCGTGACAGGCGAGACCCTGGCTCTGGTCACCCAGGACGGGCAGGCTGTGACAGGCGAGACCCTGGCTGTGGTCACCCAAGATGGGCAGGCCGTGACGGGAGAGACCCTGGCTGTGGTCACTCAAGATGGGCAGGCCGTGACGGGAGAGACCCTGGCTGTGGTCACTCAAGATGGGCAGACTGTAACAAGAGAGACCCTGGCTGTGGTCTCAGCACTGTGGCCAGTACAGGCTGTCCAAGCAGCTGATGCCTCAGCAGGGTCCAATGCGGAAAAGAGCTCTGAGGCGCTTGTTATTGGAGTGGATCCTCAGAAGTCTGTCTCCGCAAAAGCCTCAGACCCTGCATTGACAAGGGCGTCTGACCCCCCTCTGTCCGCCGAGCCTCCTCCCCAGCCCCAGCCGGTGCGGCGCAGACCTGGGCGTCCCGCTAAGGTGAGGCCAGTGCTGCTGCATTCTGGGGACCCATCGGCACCGGTGACCAAGGCTCCAGCGGGCAGTGCGACCCCCGAGCCGGCAGACGGGGGCGCTGGCGCAGTCGATGACACATACAAGGGACGTCTCCGCCGGCGCTCCCTCGGGGAGGGGGGCTATGTGCGTCTGCACATGGGCTTGGAGAGGCCAGAGGAGCAGAAGTCTGAGGTCCAGAAGGTGAGGAGGCCACAAGCTTGAACTCGGTGGACTTTAAGACTGAGTGGCTTCTTAATTGGCATGTAGCTTTCTTAAGTTTGAATGAATGAATGAATTCCGCTCGGGCTGAGAGAGCTAGCAGCAGTGCAGCACTGGCTAATCGGTCCTCTGATGTGTGCAGGTCGCCCCCAAGGTCGTTCGGCGAGGACGCCCAGGTCGCCCCCCTAAGGTGCCCAGGCTGGAAGAGGAGGAAGAGCCCAAGACCCCGACTGGACCGGCTGAGGCCGGGATGCTGGAGGCGGCTGCACCCCCAGAGATGGCGCATGCCGTGGGCCCGGAGGAAGGGGCGGCGGCCCCAGAGCATGTGGGCGGGGCCAGCGGCGAGCACAAGTGCGCGGAGTGCGGCCTGGTGTTTCAGCGGCGCTATGCATTGATCATGCACACGTTGAAGCATGAAAAGACACGGGGTTACAAGTGCAGCGTGAGTCCTCCCCACTTGGTGCAAAAATGGCTTCTGTGTTGCCACGCTCACACCGAATGTGTAGTCATGGCAGCATCGCTACGGTGCTGCGGATTGGATGACACTTTGATAGGTTTGCACTGCGGACACGGTGGGCTGTAATGTCACTGTAGCGTTGCACTAACGGTACGCCGACACTGTCCTACCACAGCTGTGCAGTAAGGATTTCCAGTATGCTGCCTCCCTGCGCGCCCACATCGCTCGCCACAAGCGGCAGAAGAGCCAGAGGGCGTCGGTGGCTCCGCGGGCGCCTTCGGAGGCTGCGGACAGCAGCGGAGACAGCGAGGAGGGCCGCTCCCGCATCCGCACGCGGCGAGAGTTCGTGTGCGACATCTGTGGCAAGACGCTGCCCAAGCTGTACTCACTGCGCATCCACATGCTGCACCACACGGGCGTGCGGCCGCACTCCTGCAAGGTCTGCGGCAAGTCCTTCGCCCACAAGCACAGCCTGAAGATGCACAGGGCCCTGCATGACTCGATGCGGCAGTTCCAGTGCACACTCTGTGACAAGTCCTTCGTCAGCAAGCGAAGCCTGGAGGAGCACACCAGCATCCACACAGGTTGGTCCATGCAAGCTGCTTCTGAGCCACTGGGGCGAGCTGTTTACTTTGTAAAACAGCTCTTGATTGCTTGAGACAAGGCTCTTACCTTTTTAGAATATTTCGTTTAGCAACACCTCGATATACAGTAGTCTATATGAAGTTCATGATGATCAATGACCTTTGACCTATGTCCTTTTCCTAATTACTTTTCCTTGACCTCAGTAGAAAATGTCATGCGGTGAAGGTGTGAAGGAAAAGTCTTAAGGATCTAGGAAATGACAGTCATGGTGCTAAGATGATCTGATCGCACTTACACTAGACCAGGGGTATTAAACTAAAGTTTAAAGAAGTCCAGTTAGAGGGAATTTCTTGGAGCAAAGGTCCGGAAGATCATAATATCTAACTATTTAGTGTGATAAGTTGTATCAACTAAAATATTGTATCAACATTGAATGTAATCAATACCTGACTGATATCAAATCAAATTAATTCAGTACAATTCAAAAACGTTTTGACAATATTTATTGTCATGTGACATAGAACTTCAACCAGCTGGCTGGAGTGAGATTTTCAGTTTGAGATGTCTGCACACATATGTAACAGTTCTTACCTTGTAAATAGTCTGCTTTTGTATTTAACCATGTAAGTACACCTTTGACATGGCTAATTTCAGGTTTAATAATGGAATAATATAGATTTGCCATAAGATTTCCAGCGTGAGTCTGAAAGCGTGAGTGTCATGCCAGATTCTTGACATTTGGCAGCCATGAAAACGTACATTTTTTATTTATTTATAAAGTTTATTTATATAACAGATAACATTATTTTATACATATGTTTAAAAGCAGAAACTTCAACGAACATGAAATCAACA